CATATTAAAATCAATTTTCCCATCAAATTGTGCAACTTCAAACTTAGCAGAGGCCATATCAATATGACACACAAGATGCACAGATATGAGTCAAAGTATAGAGCAATACAAGAAAGACTAAGTAATAGTCAATCAAATTCACAAATGTAGTACACAGTTCACAGAATTTCACAGATTGTATCACACAACATTTATGTAGATCACAGACTGATAAGGGACACAAAAACAGAGATAACACAAGCTATGTTTCAGTGATTTCTTCTACAAGATTTTCCTGATACACACCCGTACTGGATTTATCTTAGATTTCCAAGACCTCGCAGGAGCCTTTGGACAAATATTAATCTCCATGGGGTATATGTGTATGGTAAATCAAGGGAAATAACAAGAAACGCCTAATATTGAAAAGTAAATTTTTCAGAAATTAAAAAGGTCTCACCTAGCGAGTATTTTTCAACTCAGTGTCCTTCAACACTGCTTAATTGCAATTCCAAAAATTCAGATCTGCAACGGATCAAACAACTTTCTTCGAAGATCCAGGTATCCTGCTCTCAGTCCAAGCTCTAGTACCATGGTAAGGCCCAGATTCACAAATATTAGAATCAAGATACAAGAAACTTAAATCGACAAAAAACTAAATCTGCAAAAAGTATAATGAACGTAACAGATTTTTCGGCCTAAGTCCCAAAGGTTCGGTATAAACATAATCCCCTGTTGAGCATCCACAAAAGGATAACGCTTAGTTGCACTATACTGCCGTCAAACTGGCAACGAAGGTTACAAGAAGGTTAAACAACTAAAAGAATACAAACAGAGACTTATCTCTTCAAAGGATTCAACAGATCTCAGTTGNGCTCGGTTGCACTATACTGCCTTAAAACTGGCAACAATGGTTACACGAAATTCAGCCAACACAAAGAATACAAATTAGAGACTTATCTCTTCAAAGATTCAACAGATCTTGGTTGAATCACACAATAATCACCAGATCAGAACACTTGTAAATCACAGCAAATAGAACCCAACTTCTAGCAGATTTCCACACACGGTAATCAAGTATTCTAAGGCTAACACACAAGAATAATGAATCAGAACGAGAGATTTCAATTATACCATTGTCCTTTTATTCTCTGTTCCATAGCCGAAAACGACCGTAACCCCCCCAAATCACCACGTGTACCTCCATATAAAACATCCTATATCCCCACGCTCTCCTCTGTCAAATGTAACCGCAAAGGCAACCTCTGTTCATCGGCGAAGCGGAGATGGCGGTAGATGATGAAGCTTTTATCAACGGTATCTACATTGGCCTCGGCCTCCAGTCCTTGCTGACTGCTAGCCAACAGTGTCAGCTTTTGGAGCCTTCATTCAACAAAAGCACCATTTCCACTGCGATTCCACCGTACAAATTGTCCTCCAAGGCTACACCATCTGTTGTCGAAAACTCTTTGTGTTTCCAACTCCTTCCGGCGTTGTTGTCCATGAACTCAGTGAAATCGGCGGTATGCACCATTGAGCCTTTCAATAACCATGACCCAGCCAGCAGGAACTACCACCAGGGGACAGTGCTGCCATCAACCACGGTGGCTAGGAAGCGGCGGCTGCAAAGAATAAGAGATAAGACAAGGTCTCTACAAAAGTTGTTACCCTGGGACAAGAAGATGGACATAGCGACATTACTAGAGGAGGCGCACAAGTACATCAAGTTTCTCCAGGCGCAGATTAGCGTCCTCCAGGACATGCCTTGTAATGCTATGCTATTGTCCACAAGTACTAGTAATGATGAAAATGGTGGAGTTTATGGAGGAGACTGTCGGAGATTAAATAGGCAACAACTTCTGCAGGTGCTTGTTACCTCTCCAGTTGTGCAGACCTTGCTTTACACAAAAGGCTACTGCATTTGTTCAGTGGAATAGTTGGTTTTGCTGGAAAAAAAAATTCTGAAAGGGAAGCTATGTTTCACTAGGTGCTGTTTGATTCCAACTCTTGCACACACTTTTTAGAAGGTGAATGAAACCGAGACTCTGCTATATACTAGGTTTTTTGGTAAGTAATGAAGTGGAGAATACTAGGAATTATGCACATATGTCTGTTAAAAACAAAAAATATTTTTCATGTGGCCCAATAATTTTTCTTTACTTTTCAATCATACATTCTCATAAATATCATTTTCCACAAGAAAATCAGTCCGCGGGTATNCTCTTCAAGGATTCAACAGATCTTGATTGAATCACACAAGAATCACCAGATTAGAACACTCGTAAATCACAGCAAACAGAACCCAACTTCTAGTAGATTTCCACACACGGAAATCAAGTATTTTAAGGCTAACACACAAGAATAATGAATCAGAATGAGAGATTTTACAATGAACAAATCAATGAAACTCTAAGAGTAGAACTCTATCGAAACCCTAATCCAAAGTCGAGAAGAATGAATGAATCTGCCCAGATGAACAGTCGAATCAAGTATTTATATTACAGTCCAAGTTTCATCCAACGGCAAGCAATGGGACAGATGTCAGCAGATCCAAAACTCAACTTAATAAGTAAAAACGTGTTTTGGAAACACAACTTTAGCTGAAATATAAGATAGCACAAAATGCCACGGTTCGAATCTCCAACATCCGGCAACTGTAAATTGAATTATACCTTTTTTGCATGCAAACCAAAATCTTATTGGCTAGACTATGGATGAGTTGAGATATTTAGTTGTTTCTCAATTTACATTGTCATGCCTTACTACATCAGATCGAATAAGCAAATAGCAAGATGTAACCCATGATTGTAAGCGAAATAAAAAAGACTATTTGCACAATTTTAGATTATACAATAAATTAAATATAATGATGTTCAAATGAATTTTTTTTACTGGAGTTATACACCAGTTTTTTATACCACTGAGGGGTATTCCTTCCAGGGGAGAGAAAAGACATATTTTTCATGTAACGAAATCGACAAAAATTAACGGACTCACAGTCTTATAAGAAAAAAACAGAGTCAATTATACCATTGTCCTTTTATTCTCTGTTCCACCGCCGAAAACGGTCGTAATCCCCCCAAATTACCACGTGTACCTCCATATAAAACATCCTATATCCCCACGCTCTCCTCTGTCAAATGTAGCCGTAAAGGCAACCTCCGTTCATCGGCGAAGCAGAGATGGCGGTAGATGATGAAGCTTTTATCAACAGTATCTACACCGGCCTCGGCCTCCAGTCCTTGCTGATTGTTAGCCAACAGTGTCAGCTTTTGGAGCCTTCATTCAACAACAGCACCATTTCCACTGCGATTCCACCGTACAAATTGTCCTCCAAGGCTACACCATCTGTTGTCGAAAACTCTTTGTGTTTCCAACTCGTTCCTGCGTTGTTGTCTATGAACTCAGTGAAATCGGCGGTATGCACCATTGAGCCTTTCAATAACCATGACCCGGCCAGCAGGAACTACCACCAGGGGACAGTGCTGCCATCAACCACGGTGGCTAGGAAGTGGCGGCTGCAAAGAATAAGAGATAAGACAAGGTCTCTACAAAAGCTGTTACCCTGGGACAAGAAGATGGACATAGCGACATTACTGGATGAGGCACACAAGTACATCAAGTTTCTCCAGGCGCAGATTAGCATCCTCCAGAACATGCTTTGTAATGCTACGCTATTGTCCACAAGTACTAGTAATGATGAAAATGGTGGAGTTTATGGAGGAGACTGCCGGAGATTAAATAGGCAACAACTTCTGCAGGTGCTTGTTACCTCTCCAGTTGTGCAGACCTTGCTTTACACAAAAGGCTGCTGCATTTGTTCAGTGGAATAGTTGGTTTTGCTGAAAAGAATGCTGAAAGGGAAGCTATGTTTCACTAGGTGCTGTTTGATTCCAACTCTTGCACACACTTTTTAGAAGGTGAATGAAACCGAGACTCTGCTGTATACTAGGTTTTTTGGTAAGTAATGAAGTGGAGAATACTGGGAATTATGCAAATGGATTAATCTATGTTTACTTCCTTGTTTACTTCATGGATGACTACATTGCCACATGGCCGCCCCCTATTGGAAGGGCGGCTGGCCCACTATCATCCATGAAGTAAACAAGGAAGTACTTCTAGCATTGTCCTTATGCAAATATGTCTGTTAAAAACAAAAAATATTTTTCATGTGGCCCAATAATTTTTCTTTACTTTTCAATCATACATTCTCATAAATATCATTTGGGTAATTATATTGCCACTACAAAATTTATTTACTACACCACATTATAACTACACCACAATTAAAATATTTTTTTAATAAATACACCACAATAAAATTACAATTATACTCCTAATCTAATAAAAACTAAAAATAAAAAAAATAATGTGGTGTACTCATCACCCTAATATGAGATAGGCTTTATATACAATTTTTTAATCTCCCAAACGAATAAAAGAAAAATAAAAATCCAAGAAGGTTATTTCAAAAAAAGTCAAGATGCCAAACAAGCCTCCCTCCCAGAAGAGCCTATCTCTGTCCCTCTGATACATCATCTTCATATTTGGATCATCACAAACCTTAGGTTTCTTGAATTTCCC